ACATTTTTTAAAAAAATCAAGCTTCAAATAAAAATCAAACCCTTGCTTGCTGGTTTCATTCATTAAGTTGAATCATGTAGGAAATTCTTCAAAGCGATATTATTTTCTTACATGAAAGCAAACTCCCCGGGGGGGGGGGGGAGGGAAGCGGTTTATGGCACCCGAAATTAAATGCTATTTGTAACCACAAGACCGGATGATCATTGGGAACTAATTGCGAAGAACTTTAGCAGGCAAATTGGATTGATGTTAACCAGGTTCGTGGCAGGGGACGCTAAATGCAAATCTGCAAACTCAGGCTTGGAAGTTAGTTTAAGGTCCCGGGTTTTTAGGCCAGGAGCCACAAAACATGATATTTCAATAAACAGGCTAAACCAGCTGGACGAATCTCGCCTTAAACGATAATGCATGGATGTTTGGAAGACTTAAAAAGGGACGGATCAGTTGCACGATTGACGTTAGCGGTTTTCAGAGATCTGTTTGTTCCCTGCAAACAGAGCGAAGAGGTATCGGCAAATGTAACCACAGGTTCCCTTTTAAGCATAACAAACAAAATTCTCTATTCCCCCCTCCACCCCTTTCAAATCTGATTGAAGAAACTCCTCTGCAGGGATGGGGCTTAGAAGCTGAATTTGAACCCATGACTGGTTTTTCCTTTGCAAAGGAACGGCTCGGCTGAGCAACCACTGGCCGGGAAATTTAACGTCTGAGTTGGTATCAGTGGTGGGATACAATTTTTTTTTACTACTGGTTGGTTCTGTGCGCATGGCTTGGTGGGCATGGTGTGGCTTTGGTGGGCATGGCAGGGGAAGAATACTGCAAAATCCCCCTTCCCTCCCCAACCCACTAACCTGCTTTCCAGCTCCGTTCTCCTGTGCAGGGCAACCAAAGAAGACCCAGCCAATCCGCTGGGACTCAGGAGGCGGAGAATAGATGGGGGCGGAGCCAATCAGAGATGGGATTTGCCGGTTCTCCGAACTACTCAAAATTTCTGCTACCGGTTCTCCAGAACTGGTCAGAACCAGCTGAATTTACCACCTCTGATTGGTATCATCGCTGGCGGAATTTCAGAGAAGGCCAAACTTTTCCAATCTGCCTGCCCTAAACCAAAATTCCAATCAAGAGGTGGAAAAAATAGGAAAAGATCAATTCGCTCTAAAACACGGCAGTCAGTCTGCCTCCCCATTGGTGCTGGGATGAAAGGCTGAGCTAAGCAGGGGTGGGATTCTACCAGTTCGCACCTATTTGCTAGAACCGGTTGTTAACATTCTAAGCAGTTCAGAGAACCGGTTGTTAGAAGAAATTACTGGGCTAATCCTGTAAGGAAGGCAGGAAGGAAACATTCTGGGGTTGCTTACAGAAACTGCCTCTCCGTTAACCCTTATTACATTCTTGGCAGGACTAGACTTCCCGTCTCAAGAACGTCTCTGGAGTTTTTTTCCCCCTCCTTTGCTGGTACTTTGTGTGGAGTGACCATTCAAAGTTACAATGGCACTGAAAGAAGTGACTTACGACCGTTTTTCACGCTTACGACTGTTGCAGCATCCCCACAGTCGCGAGAGGCCAGGCGAGGAGATGCGTGCCTCGATGTGAGCGATGTTGAGTTGGCCACGCCTAGCCAGTCACATGACCACCAAGCCACGCCCACCAACTAAGCCACGCCCACCAACTAAGCCACGAACCAGTTGTTAAAAAAAAAATTGCATCCCAGCCCTGGAGCTAAGGCCCTGGGACGACGCAATAGACTGCAGGAATCTCCTCCAGAACTTAGCCAAAAGGCATTTGAAAGAACCGTTTGCAAAAAGAACCAGTGCTGAAGCACCCTGACCCCGAGCAGCCCTTTATCATCCAGCGATGTGGCAGTGGGAGCAGTGTTACTCCAAAGTAACCAAGGAAGCCTACAGCGCCCGGTATTCCCAGGGCGGTCTCCCATCTGAGTACTAACCAGGCCTGACCCTGCTTAGCTTCCGAGATCAGAGGGTGTGTTCAGGGTAGTATGGCCGTAGAAGGGACCGAGGGGGCTGGGCAGCAGAGGGTTGCAGCAGGCGGTCGCAGCCAAAAACAGGGTCCGGGAAGGACTCGCGCAGCCCCCACCCCCCAAGCTCAGTTTTCTCTGGAAGAGGGCTAGCAAAACAAACTAAAAGCAAAATAAAACGAGAAACGCTTCTCCTTTTGCATTTGAGCTTCCAAGAAGGGGCAGGAAAGGAGAAAGGGAAAGAGGAAAAGGAAAGTAGGAAAGTTGGGAAGAGAGCAAGGAAGGAAAAAGAAGGAAAGAGGGGGAGGAAGAGGAGAGAAGGAAAAGAGAGAGGGAGGGAAGGAAGGAGGGAGGGAGGGAAAGAAGGAAGGAAGGAGGGAGGGAAAGAAGGAAGGAAGGAGGCAAGAAAGGAGGGAGGGAGGGAAGGAAGGAAGGAGGGAGGGGGGGAAAGAAGGAAGGAAGGAGGCAAGAAAGGAGGGAGGGAGGGAAGGAAGGAAGGAGGGAGGGGGGGAAAGAAGGAAGGAAGGAGGCAAGAAAGGAGGGAGGGAGGGAAGGAAGGAAGGAGGGAGGGAGGGAAAGAAGAAAGGAAGGAGGCAAGAAAGGAGGGAGGGAGGGAGGGAGGGAAGGAAGGAAGGAAGGAGGAAAGGAAGGATAGTTTAGCATGTTTATCCCTTGGCTACCAACAGCCCTGCTGCCCTTTCGCCACCACAGCCTCAATTGAGCCCAAAATTTACACCGCTAAGCGAGACGATTGTGAAGTGAATTTTGTTTGCCCCATTTCCCAGCCTTTCTTTCCACAATTGTTAAGTGAATCTGTGCCCTTGTTCAGTTAGTAACAGGGTTGTTAAGTGGAGCAGGTTTTTCCCTTTGACTTTTGCTGGTCAGGTCACAAAAGGGGATCCCACAACCCCAGGACACTGTTGCAACTGTCATAAATACAAGTCAATCGCCAAGCGCCTTGAATTTTGATCACGTGGCCATGAAGGGGTGTGTGTGTGTTTACAACGGTCGTAAGGGTGAAAAAAATGGTCCTAACTCACGTTTTTCGGTGGGTGTTGTAACTTTCAACGGTCACTAAATGAACTGTTGTTGAGAACAACCTGTACAAATATCTGTTCTGTGAAAGCACAAAACTACCTTCTGTATCTGTGCTTGGACATATCCTGTTTTTCTTAAATTTACTTTTACTTATTCAATTCTGACAGCCGCCCAACTCCATCAAGTGACTCTGGGAGCAGACGCAGAATTTTAAAGTGATCAAAAAGAGTTAAAAACAATTTAAAAAACAAACAAACGTGAAAGCCATAAAAACACCTGCTAACTAAATATGTACAAACAGCAGCTGTGATGATTACTTAATCGACTAACAGTAAAAGTCCAGCAGTGGGGCTCTTCATATATTATTCCTTGCAGAATTTCAGAAAGTATCAGAGTTGGAAGGGACCCTGGAGGTCTTCTAGTCCAGCCCCCTGCTCAAGCAGGAGACGCTATACCAGTGGTGGCTAACCTTTTGGGGCTCCTGTGCCAAAAATTGTGTGTGCACTTGTGTGCGTGCGCTCGCATGCCAGCACCCAGAAGGCAATGTGCGCGCCCCCCACACCTCTGCGCATGCATGTGCAATTCCCCCCCTCATGCCCCCTTACCTGCACTGCACCTCCCAGCTGACTTTTGGCCCGTTTGAGGCCTTTTTCAGCCTCCCAGAGGTTTGAGGAAAGCTTCTGCAGCATTTGCAGGCCGAAAAATGGGCCCGTTTCGTCACTTCCGGAAATACCGGAAGTGACGAAACGGGACTATTTTGGGGCCTGCAAAGGCTTTCCTCAAGCCTCTGGGAGGCCGAAAAAGGCCTCAAACAGGCCAAAAGTCAGCTGTGAGGCGTGCGCATGCGCAGTAAGGTAAGTTTGCCTGCGGCTCGCGTGCTGGCCCAAATGGCTCTGCGTGCCACCTGTGGCAGGCGTGCCATAGGTTTGCCATCACGGCACTATACCATTTCAGACAATGGTGGCTGTTCAATCTCTTCTTAAAAACCTCCAGGGATGAAGCTTCTAGAAGTTTTCCACAACTTCTAGAGGCAAACTGTTCCGTAGGTTAACTGTTCTAACTGTGAGGAAAATTATTCTTAATTCTAGTTGGATCTCTCCTGGATTATTTTCCATCCATTTCTTCTTGTCCTGCCTTCAGGTGCTTTGGAAAATAAATTGACCCCTTCCTCTTCTTTGGGGCATCCCCTCAAATACTGGAAGACTGCTATCGTGTCTCCCCTGGTCCTTCTTTTCTCTAGACTAGCCATACCTAATTCCTGCAACCCTTCATCGTATGTTTTTGTCCCCTAATTTTGGAGTTACCTGCTTCTTTGCCCATCTCCAACTCACGATATGTCAGCTGTTCCACCGGATCAGCCTTCCCTAACAAATCTTTTTTTTTTAATTTTGACAACAAACATAGACAAACACACAAACACAAAACATAAAACTGTCTTTCCATTGTACAGTGTGTCGGTTGGTACCTATCTCTTGTGCACACAATATTAACAGTCTTTCCCTCCTAAACTTAAATTAAAGTTCATATTATGTAAATCAGCTATCCACATCGTATTATATTGTTATCGAATCGTTATTGGACTTAGATTGTAAGTTCATGTCATCCTTTTCGAGCCAATCTCAACTTTTACGATGTCTTGTTCATAATATCATTCATTTTGCAATAATGAAATATGACGTATCATTACAATGCATAACCTTTATTATATCTATATTACAGTATGTTTTATTTCTCTACTTTCTTGCCTAGCCATTGATAAAATAAATCCCGTATTTTATAATATTCTTTCTCTTCTTGCTCTCTAGTAGCAAATTATCATTCTACTCCTTTCTGCACATAGCATTATTCTTCCCTCACAAATCTGAAGGGGGCTCCCTTCAATATAGTTCCCTTAACCAGAATTCTCCTCCTTTGCATCTTTACGTCCCATAAGGTGTCCTCTCTACTTATGCTGGCCACCCCGTGCCAGCCCACCTGCCCAATTTACCTGGGATAAGTGCAGCGGTAAATGACACCAACCCCAGGACTAGTCCTGCCCGCCACATGTCTGCAGGTAGAGCTGAGCACGCGGTCAGATGGTAAGGAAGGACCTCGCCAAGATCTGAGGCTTTATAAGAACGAACTGCAAGGAACTTTGGACAGCGAGAGGGCGGCGGGAATCCTTGGGCAGCCACGTTCGTTCTCTCTGGGTCCTACCTGGGTACGAGTTATACAACTTTTGGCACCAGGAAGTATTGATATATAGCTGCAAGAAATTGGACCCGTGCCCAGGGCTGAACCCTGCTTTGTTTTTGTTCTGCTTTACTCTTGACAAGTAAGGCTTCTGTTCCAAGCTTCTAGTCCTCATCCTTCGCTCGCATCAGCCTGGCCTTAGTTTCTTCTCCCAAATCTTGAATGGAATGAATTTTTGAAAAAAAAATATTCTACACAAGAGCGCAGGCTCGCTTTCTGTTGGGCTTGATCATCTTGGTCCTTCCTGTCACTTGATCGTAGTTCTTGGAGTGTTTATGCTCCGGTGGTTACTGGCAGGATGGCAGGGCAACTGTAGTCAATCAATCAATCAATCAGAATAGAGCTGGAAGGGACTTCGAAGGTCTTCTAGTCCAGCCCCCTGCTCAAGCAGGAGTCCCTATACAATTTCAGACAGGTGACTGTCCAATTTCTTCTTAAAAGCCTCCAGTGATGGTGCACCCACAACTTCTGGTGGCAAGTAGTTCCATTGGTTAATTGTCCTCACTGTTAGGAAATTTCTCCTTAGTTCTAGGTTGCACCTCTCCTTGATTAGTCCTTGACTTACGACCACAATGGAGCCCCAGATTTCCATTGCTAAAACGAGACAGTTGTTAAGTGAGCTTTGCTCCACTTTGCAACCTTTCTGGACACAGTTGTTCAGTGAATCACCACGGTTGTTAAGTTAGTAACCTGGTTGTTAAGTGAATCTGGCTTCCCCGTGGACTTTGCTGGTCAGAAGGTCGCAAAAGGGGACCACGTGACCCCCGGGGACATTGCAATGGCCATAAGTATGAATCCATTGCCAAGTGGCTGAATTTTTCTTTTTTAATTTTTTATTGAAAATAAGCATTAAAAATATTGAACGTGGTGGTCTTCTTTGACATATATTTCAATCTAAACATTTTACACTAGAAAAGATCAAAAGATATACACATATAGGTGCCTATACACATTTAAGCTTTGTACCAGTTTGAATCTTATTCTTATTCCTCATTTCTATTTCGTCTTTAATTCTTATTTCAATTTTGTGAGCTCCCTTTCATGTCCCTCCAATAGTAAAAAATTGTTCCATAATTTAGAGTATTCTGATTTATCTTGTTCTCTCAATCCTAATGTCAAACTATCTAATTCGGCGCACTGAAAAATCTTATCGATCACAGCATCGTCACTTGGGATTTCTTTTGTTTTCCAAATTTGGGCGAATAATATTCTTGCTGCTGTGATTACGTGTATAATTATATAGGCATCTGCTTTACTAAAAACAAATTCTTTTATTATTCCTAATAAGAACATCTCCGGTGTATAGCTAATTTTTAGTCCCAACATTTCCTCTAACCATGACCAATTTTTTTTACCAGAACACCTGTGTTCTTTTACAGCTCCACCATATATGGGAGTAAGTGCCCCCAAGCCAGTGGTGAGATTCAAACATTTTTTACTACCAATTCTGTGAGAGTGGCTTGGTGGGCGTGGCTTGGTGGGTGTGGCCATGTGACTGGGTGGGCGTGGCCATTTCTTTCTTTTCTTTTCTTTTTGCTGTTTTGCAGTCCCCCCCCCACCTGTTTTTTGGGCCTTCTGGGCCTCAGAAGAGCCTCTGGGAGGGCCGTTTTTGCTCCCTGAAGGCTCCTCTGGGGCTCAAGAGGGCACAAAATGGAGGGGGGGGCCCTGAGCCCCTCCCTCCATTTTTTGCCTTCCTAGGCCTCAGCAAGGGGAATACCGGCTGTTCATATGATCAGCTGATTGTCGTGAGGGAAAAAAAGTAATACCTTAACGGGTGGAGCGTCAAGCGGGCAGGGTGAGCGAGCATCGGGTGGGCGGGGCAAGTGAGCCAGCGACCGGGTCGGGGGCGTGGCCAGCCAGAACTTACTACAGTTTCAGCGACCCACGCCAAATCCTTGCTACTGGTTCGCCCGATCCGGTGCGAACCGGCTGAATACCACCCACTGCTCCAAGCGGCTGAATTTTGATCAGGTGGCCATGGTTGTAAGTGTGAAAAATGGTCCTAAGTCACATTTTTCAATGCCTTGGTAACTTCGAACAGTCACTAAATGAAAGGTCGTAAGCCAAGGACTACCTATATGTCTGCTGAAAGAAAACTGAGAGGAGAGAAAGCTCTGGACCGGGTAAAAAAGCCACAAGAAACAGACTTTTAGTCGCCGCCCAAGTTGAAAATTCCAGCCATTAACAAAATGCATTGGCCAGAATTACAACCTACAGGACATCCTACAACCATTCTTTTATCTATGGAGATTCTCATTCATCCAGGCGAGGGTTGTCCCAAAGGTGCTTTTTCTTTTTTTCCAATAGGCAACTGGACTTGAAGGCATTTCACTTCTCATCCAAGAAGCTTCTTCAGCTCTGACTGGATGGTGGAGAAATGGAAGGATTTATATTCCTTGCAGAAAAGCTGGTCATTTGCATCCTTTTTAGAGAGTCGTTGAGGCCACTTGGGAGGTTGATCTGTGTACTCAAGGTCTCCAGAGTGGTGCAAATGGATGTGGAGCCTCACCGACCTCATCTATCTCCAGTCTACAACACCGTCCTTTCAGCGGTTCCCAGAAGCCTCCTCGCCCATTTGGCCCACTCAGGTGACCCTAGGCACACAGATAAACCTCCAAGCGGCCTGGGGCAATATCATTAGTGTAAACCCTACCCCCTTCTAGCACTGAGGACGTTACCTCGTTGGGTCATTGAAACGTCTGCAAGAAAACCACCCAGTTCAGAGAGCAGCAAGGGCCCCGGAGCTATAAATATTCCCCTTTATTAGAATTCCTCAACATCGCTAAGCCTCGAGGTTCGAGCAGAGCAGAGTCTTCCCTTGTGCAAAGATCAGAAGAAGTGTGTGTGCAACACACAGAGCCTTGTAGAAGCCTCGTTTTGTTTCCTCCAGGAGATTTCCAACCCCGGGTGGGGTGGGGTGGGAGCATTCGTGCTACGCATCCTCCCCACCCCCCTTCCTCACAACAACCCTGTGAGGTGGGCTGGGCTGGCACACATCACCCTGCAAGCTCCCACACCACATGAATGCTTGTTTCCCTCCACACCTGTTCCAAATTCCCCACCTGAGGGATGGGCCCAGTTGTCTTTGGGCCACACACCCTTTCCCAACCAGGAGGTTTTGAAACGGTCTTTTGGGGATTCGGTTGCAACTGGCTCCCTCATGCGCTGCTTGGAGCCATCAAACCACCCCGGCTGGATTTGCAAAGCATCCAGCCAGGCCAGAATTGATCTAGTGCAGAGTAAAAAGCAGTAAAAAGAATGCAGAGTAGAGCAACCAGAATGATTAGGGGATTGGAGGCTAAAACATAGGATGAATGGTTGCAGGAACTGGGCCTGGATAGTCTAGGGTAGAGAAGGACCAGGGAGACAGGAGAGCAGTCTTCCAATATTTGAGGGGCTGCTACTGAGAGAAAAGGGTCAAGCTATTTTCCAAGGCACAAGAAAGAAAGAAAGAAAGAAAGAAAGAAAGAAAGAAAGAAGAGAGAGAAAGAAAAAGGAGAGAGAGAAAGAAGAAAGAAGAAAGAAAGAAAGAAAGAAAGAAAGAAAGAAAGAAAGAAAGAAAGAAAGAAAGAAAGGAAGGAAGGAAGGAAGGAAGGAAGGAAGAAAGAAAGAAGAAAGAGAAAGGAGAAAGAGAGAGAAAGGAAAGAAAGGGAAACAAAAAGAAAAAAAGAAAAAGAAAGGAGAGAGAAAGGAAAGAAAAAGAAAGAAAGAAAGAAAGAAAGAAAGAAAGAAAGAAAGAAAGAAAGAAAGAAAGAAAGAAAGAAAGAAAGAAAGAAAGAAAGAAAGAAAGAAAGAAAGACATCTTAGCAAAGAAGGATGGGGTGACAAGATGGCATCTTCCAATATCTCAGGGCTTCCCACAAAGAAGAGATGTAAAAAAGATGTTGAGACTCTAGAAAAAGGGCAGAGAAGAACAACCAGGAGGATTAGGGGACTGGAGGCTCAAACACATGAAGAACAGTTACAGGAACTGGGCCTGGCTAGTCTAGGGAAGAGAAGGACCAGGGGAGACAGGAGAGCATCTTCCAATATTTGAGGGGCTGCCCCAGAGAGGATGAAGGGGGTCAAGCTATTTTCTAAAGCACCCGAAGGCCAGACAAGGAACAATGGATGGAAACTGACCAAGGAGAGATTCAACCTGGAAATAAGGAGACATTTTCTGACAGTGGGAACAATCAACCCCATGGAACAGAAGTTGCCTTCAGAAGTTGTGGGAGCTTCATCCCTGGAAGCTTTCAAGAAGAGACTGGACTGCCATCTGTCAGAAATGGTGTAGGATCTCCTGCTTGGGCAGGGGGTTGGACTAGATGACCTACAAGGTCCCTTCCAACTCTGTTATTCTGTATTCTACACTCCCTGTCTTGAACACCCCGTCTCTCTGCCTATGTTTCCAGGAGGGTTGTTTCCTCACGACTCTGGCCATAGCGAGGCTGACCTTATCAGGCTCGGAGAAAGAGCAAGGGCCATGCCGCGCCTCAGTTTCCTGTGGGTTTCCTCCCTGTGAGGAGCGTAAAGTTTCCTCGTGGGGAATTCTGGGAGTTGAATTCCACCCATTTGAAGTCACTCCTATCGAGGAGCAGCGAGTTAGTCCGGATGCAACCGATCTCATGCATTTGCATAAAAATAAGGCAGCTGTTGGGAAGAAAAGAGACATTTCTTAAATTGCACCTACACGTAAAATATGCATATCTATAGAGAAAAATCTGCTGGTTGATTTAATCATGGGACAACTTTTTAAATACAGAATAACAGAGTTGGACGGGAAGGTCTTCTAGTCCTGCTTGGGCAGGAAACCCCTACCATTCTGGACAAATGTCTAATCTCTTCTTTAAAGCCTCCAGTGTTGGAACACTGACAACTTCTAGTGGCAAGCAGTCCCACTGGTTCATTGTCCTCACTGTTAGAAAGTTTCTGCTCAATTCCAGGTTGCTTCTCTCCTTGATTAGTTTCCATCCATTGTTTCTTACCTTCCGGTGCTTTGGAGA